CTCCACTATATACGCCATTGCGCCTTTGGGATGTCCCCACTTTTCACAGATGTGTGTGTGTGTGTGTGTGTGTGTGTGTGTGTGTGTGTGTGTAAGGACATCCTAAAGGGAAGATGTGTGTGTTACATGAGCACTGAGAAGAGACTAGAAAAAATAACTGGAGAGGTGGATTGTGTTATTACAAAGGTAAAAAGAGACATCCAATGGTTCAGTGGGAGATATCTTGACTGTGTGTCTATAAGGAATCTGTCACCATTTCAAACAGCTGAGTGAGAGCAGGGGCAAGGACACACATGTGTCGCTGTAGCATAGCTGCTTCCGATTTAAAGAGACAGACACATGTTTTAGAAATGCACACAACCAGGGAACAGAGGTTTGGGCTGAAAAATACGTCTGCAGAAATGGACGGATTTTGATTTCAGAAACAATTGAAGCAATTAAGCATCAATGTTATTAACTGCGGGATTTGGATTAACAGGAAATAAGAGACAAGGATTGTACCATGTGCCTTACAGGATCTGTATGAAACCCTGTGTGCTTGGCATATTTTACATTTGCTGATAGTCTAATTCAAATTACGGTTTTGTAGCTTTAAGCCTATTATATTTGAGATCACCTTTATTCTAGTTCTGTGGTTTTCAAACTAGGGTATGCAGATTATTTTAGGGGTGGGGGGGGGGGGGGGGCAGTGAGGAATGGAAATTATAGATATTAAGAAAATACATTTCTTATGAATTCTTATGAATGAAAATACATAGACACCTTTATATTCGTAGGCTTACAAAAAAATAAAAACCCTAAAACTTGATGAAAATTTTTTTTTGGTTATATACGCATTTAAAAATGTAGGTTACTAATTTATAATTAACATCTGCCACTAATTTAATGCTAATAATGTAAGCAGACAGTAGCTCAGAGATAGAAAATCAAATAATTATGAAAACCTACCATTTAAATTAATCAGAACCGCCAGCCTCAGATCTGGGTTTGAATAGATATGGCCGTACTCCAAAAATGAATCAGCATTCTGGCAAGTCTGCAGGTACAGGGGAAGGTGGTGGTGAGAAATCCTTCAAATTCAAATGAAAAGTGTCCTTATTGCCTCTTTTCATGATACAAGCTATGGTATTACTGACCTAAACTACTGTGTTGCAGTGTCACTGCATCAGGCCATATTAATACTATTAATATTATGCTTAGAAGAGGCACACAAATAAGCTTTTTTATTAATATTTCATTTCATTGTTTCTTTTTCTTTGAACTATAACAATTAGAATAACAATTAAATGCTCTGTAACCGAGTGTACCCAGTCCAAAAATGACAAGATTTGAAGAATTACCAAATTGAAACGCAACATATAGGATATGAGCATGAAAGAAATTTACAAATATTCACCTTCGTTTTCGTAATTTGCTGGATGTCACCATAAACTTGTCTCCTTCCCTGTTTAAATAAAGCCAGATGCCTTCAGCTGTTTGGCGCCCCCCTCTGGACAACATGCTCTGCGATATGGGGACAATGCACTTCTACTACAAGAAACCACATAATCACGGATGAATCATTCACATTTTTACATTTTCTATTTATACACACAATTATGTCACAAATAACGGGTTAGCGCTACAAATACAGGTACAGCATGCCAAAGATAGCCATTCATTTAAAGACCTTTCAGCTGTGCTGCCATTCTGGACTGCATGAAGAACAGGATGCAAGAAAGCTCAACACTTTCTTCTCATTCACAAATAAATAAATACATTAAAAAAAAACATACACAAATGTTATGTCTATCTAAAATCATTTTTTCTTATTAGCATGGTTGAATTTGATCATTGAAGGTCTGCAGCAAATACACTGGTTAATAAAATTGAATTTTTGTGTTAACATTTAATTTTATTGCAGGTTTGCATAATATTCTGAGTTTGCTTTTCACAGTTTTTTTATTAATTTTGAAGAATACTGAATCTGTTTTTAGGCAAGCGAGATGAGTAAATGCATATTCACATTTAAAGGAGTCATATGATGCGATTTACATTTTTCCTTTCTCTTTGGAGTGTTACAAGCTCTTGGTGCATAAAGAAGATCTGTAAAGTTGCAAAGACTAAAGTCTCAAATCCAAAGAGATATTCTTTATAAAAGTTAAAAGAGTCAACCACGCCTACCTAAAACGGCTCGTTCTAACACGCCCCCACATGTCTACGTCACTATGTGGGAAGATTTGCATAACGCCGCCCAAATGTTCACGCAAAGAAGGCATAACTTTTATCCTCGCTTTAGTATTGTTGCCGCCAGCGCCATGTCGTGAAGGTGCTGTGTGTTTCGTTGTGAAAGTGAAACTACTTTGGTTGGTCTTCCAAAAGAGGACGATATCCGCTTCGTAATGCCTAGAGCTGATCCATGCTGGTCGCTGAGGAAATACATTAACTTTGACGCGGCGCGATGCAATGCGTAAAAAGATAGTATACGTCGTTATAAATCCGTAATTATGTCCCCACTGGATGCAACAAATGCCTCGTTTGTAATGGGTTTTAATGTTTTTGTCTCATCGCTTCGGCCGGGATATGGCATCACAGTATGGTAGGGGCGTAACATTTCCATCACACGCTTGAGGTATTCGGCCAATCACAACGCACTGGATAGCTGGCCAATCAGAGCACACCTCGCTTTTCAGACCGATGAGTTTTGTAAAAATCGAAGCGTTTCAGAAAGGTGGGGCATAGAGGAGAAACAATAATGTACAGTATGTGGAAAATAATGTTTTTTTAACCTTAAACCGCATAAACACATTTCATTACACCAAATACACAAAATAATGTTCTTTTTAGCAACATCATATGACCCCTTTAATCTAGAACTACAGTAACAATCATGTTCCCACAGCACACACAACACCTCTGCACTTACTCCCGAGTTCTCTCAACATGGGAGCAGGAGAACTGCCAGTTAATAAATGGGAAAATAAAGTAACTGGCATTACGCATTTAAAAAAGGGACTCAGATATTTTCTTGTAAACTAAAACGTAATGCGTTATTTAACTAGTTACTTCAAAACGTAATCTGATTACGTAACTCACGTAATTGCAATGTTTTACCCCCAACACAGCTTACAAAAAAGGTTTACCTGGTGCACTAACATTACTGGTGTTCAAAAATATCATTGGCCAATGTTGTGTCAAGGGTTGGTGAATCACCAGGGATCCTGCAACATCCAAAACATTGCTTTATTTCTAACAAAGCTTTAATATCAACACATGGATGTATTAGGCTTGTATGTATTATTTATTTATGGGCTTGCAAATCAGACACATTTTCCTCAGTCACTGGCCCTTTAACAACAGAGCAACCTCACAATGTTTGTTCTTTGTCTTTTCAAATTATTTCACTTTAATTAACCCCATTAATCTGCATGAAGGGAGCCAAAGGCGAACATGTACAATCAGGTGTTATTAATCCAAGCTCCATGGAGATGCAGCATGTGTGTGGATGGTTGAGAGGGTGTTTTTTCAAAGGCCATGTCAATCCAAACCCTGAATGTGCAGGCATGGTTTTCTAGTAATATCTAGCAGGCAAGTATAATGTGCAGAATGCACCTTGAAGTCACTGGGTCAGGCAGATGTTATTACAGCTCATCTGGAATGACCTAGTGAGTGTTGCCATGGTGATAGTGCCAGCCAGCAGCATGCTGCATGTGCCAGTCCATATCAGCTTCTCAGGCGGCCGGCAGGCACAGCAGCACAAACTGCTTCCTTTTCTGCTAGGCGTTTGTTCTTTATACTTCATTATTCTCTGACAAAACAAAAATGACAACAAACAATGACAAATGAGGAACATCAATAGAAATAGAACAGTTTGAACATTTTTTTTATTAAAATATTACCATGTTTATTACAGCACTTCTTATTTCAATATATGTTTTTGGTTATTCATCATCTAGTACAAATATTCCTTATAAACAAAGCCTACCACCATACCTGTTATATCTTTCTGCCCCATTTAAAAAAAAAACACTGCAGGTTCGAGTTCTGCTACCGAGTTACAAAAATGAACTCAAACACCAGTGAAAATATAAACTCAACACTGAAACAGCTCAAAAAAAGCATACTTTCCTGGTCTTTGAAACTTCTCTTCCCTTTTATAATTGTGTTTTTGAGAACAGACTTCCTCAGTTATTGTGATTTCAACTCTAAAATTTGGCAAAGGTACTTCTGTAAATATAAATATTTGTCATTTATTTGCATTCCGCCGTAAGAACAGTGTATATAGTAATTTAGACGCGTTTACTCGAAATTACGTGATACTAGTCGCATTTTCAGCCATTTTTATGACATTTTGATCATTTTCCAAAAAAAAAAAAAGTTTGGTAAATCAAGCCAATGTCGTCTTTTCTGAGGCGATATCAAAAAGGAACTCGCGTTGTGGTCACGTCTCGATAAAATATCGCGATACCTTGTTATTATCGAGCTTTTACGTGTTCTGTGATATTAAAATTAACGTTACACATAAAATAAAACAAATACTACTCACTATTATTCGTATTCATATATGCTTGGTATGTCGACCATTAGGTGGTAGCATCGTGCAGCAGCAAACAGCGCGAGACTTGTCTCTCGCGACCCGGTACTAATGCTCTGAGTGACGTCTGCACTTCCTCTTCGCTCCTGCGCCGCGAGGGCAACCATGGTGCGTGATACCGTCCTGTGGAGTTTCAGACAAAATCTGTTTTAATCCTAAATATGAGAACAACCTAGACCCAAACAAAGTATACGTTGTGGATGTATAGATCCTCGGCACCATATAAAGTGTTTTATTGGGTAATTTTTGTGACGAATGAGATTATTATCTGCCGATTTGACAACTCGTAATGCAGATGGTTTAGTTGTAAACGCCTACGAGTTATATTTTGGGACAATCTTACTAAAACGCTAGTTTTTTGTCTTTATGTATTCGAAATGATTATGCACACTCTTTAACTTACGAAATTTTCTGTATATTTCGCGAAACTGCCGATTAGCTTGAGCGCTAAAGCTAGGCGGTGTAATGAGCTCGGGCTGCTCGGTATGTCGACCATTAGGTGGTAGCATCGTGCAGCAGCAAACAGCGCGAGACTTGTCTCTCGCGACCCGGTACTAATGCTCTGAGTGACGTCTGCACTTCCTCTTCGCTCCTGCGCCGCGAGGGCAACCATGGTGAGTAATACCGTCCTGCGGAGTTTCAGACAAAATCTGTTTTAATCCTAAATATGAGAACAACCTAGACCCAAACAAACTATACGTTGTGGATGTATACATCCTCGGCACCATATAAAGTGTTTTATTGGGTAATTTATGTGACGAATGAGATTATTATCTGCCGATTTGACAACTCGTAATGCAGATGGTTTAGTTGTAAACGCCTACGAGTTATATTTTGGGATATTAATAAAACGCTAGTTTTTTGTCTTTATGTATTCGAAATGATTATGCACACTCTTTAACTTACGAAATTTTCTGTATATTTCGCGAAACTGCCGATTAGCTTGAGCGCTAAAGCTAGGCGGTGTAATGAGCTCGGGCTGCTGGAGGTCTCTGACAACATGCGTGTTTATCTTCAGGTCAACGTGCCGAAGACCCGCAGGACCTACTGCAAGAAATGCAAGAAGCACCAGCCACATAAAGTGACCCAGTACAAGAAGGGCAAAGACTCTCTGTACGCCCAGGGTAAGTTCAGAGAGCTGACTGAGATCAGCAGTATGCTCATTGTAGACCTTTACCTGCATTTGTTCATCTGTGTCTTGTAGGAAAGAGGCGTTACGACAGAAAGCAGAGTGGTTATGGAGGACAGACGAAGCCTATTTTCCGGAAAAAGGTTTGTTGGGTCTTGCAGATGCAAGAATTGCCACGTTTAACATTAGACCAGCAGTTTTCAAAGTCTTTTAATATTGCACCAAAGCGATATTGTTGTATTTTGAAGCAAGTTTCTGTAATTAAAACACTTTTAGGTGGTGTTGCAACGTAAAGTAGTTTACATATACTTTAAATCAACAGTGTAGACATAGTGAGGTTCATTTTAATTAAGCAAAGGGTGTAACTTTTCTTTATACAGTAAAACTAAATGTATGCTTTTCTAGTTCTTGACAAAAATGAGACCCACTGGTGTAGAGTATGGTGGAAACTTATCTACACACAAACTGCAGGCCTGAAGTGTCTTCGGGTTAGTGTTAGCCGTATATATGTATTTTTTGACATGGCTAAATGCCTTTATTTGGCATTTTACTAAATAATATACTGTATTGGAATTTAGATGAATATTGAGCCTAAAGCCCCGTTCACACCAAGAATGATAACTATAAAGATAACGATATTAGCGTCCACACCAGCGAACAATATCGTCTGTTTATTCTAAGCGCACGCTCCTCTGCCGCTTTAAAGGGGTCCTATTGTGCTTTTTCAACTTTAGTTAGTCTGTAATGTTACTGTTTGAGCATAAAAAAAGATCTGCAAAGTTACAAAGCTCAAAGTCCACTTCAAAAGGAGATATTTCATGCTGACGTGTGCAAAAAAACTCGCGACGGCGAGGTAGCTGTGTCGGATTGTGCAGTCGAGCGCAGTTGCTCTCCACCGACTGCGCTGACCAAAAGCATGATTGGAAACGACTGACTGACGTCACAGCTTAGTGCTCATTGGTTCGGACACCTGTGATGCTGCGGTTCTCTTCTAAAATATTTTATTTTTTTAATCTGATTTCATGTGATTATGTATTTAAATTATGCATGAATATTCCCAAACACGATGACAGTGCGATCTCTGTGAGATATGTGGTTGTGGTCATATTCCTATAAAAATCTAAAGTACATGTTTGTATTAAAGTAAAAATGGATGATAAATACACCTTTCGTATGGAATTAAATAGCAAGCTTTTAAGTGTCTTGTTCATCATATTTATTTTCATATAAACCTATCAGAACTGAAATTATATCATGTTTATAAGCAAGACAGCACGTGAGTGAGAATAACGCGATATCTGTCTTTGATCTCGTTGATATCTGTTCCACTTCGAGAGGGCAGAACTGTCCGTCTTGACTGAGCTTATTTCACTCCTCCCCTCACTGCAGCCGCCTACTCTCACCAACATTTCAGGCAAGGCGAGGCGCATCTCAAATAAGCCTATTTCCCGACCAGGCGCCGAGTGCTGCCAATCACAGCACTCACTGGCCCAGCTAACCAATCGCAACACCTTTCATATTTCAGAAGGCGGGCCTTCATTTGATACAGGAACTATTCGAGCCGTTCATGCCAGACTGGGGAGAGAGGTGTTGTTGTAATGATGTAAAATATGTGAAAAATAATGTGTTTTTCGAATAACCTAGTATGAGAGCCTGTTCTAGTACACCCCCAAAACAAAATCAAGACTTTGTAAAAGAGCATAATAGGACCCTTTTAAATTCTCAAGCTTTTTTTTATCGCTCATCAGCTGAAAAAAAAATAATAATTTTGAAAGTGATTCCAACGATATCGTTTCTCTTTGTCTTTATCGTTATAGTTGTGGCGTGGACTCTGTGGTGTGCTATTCTTTAATATTGAGAACGAATTTTATAACTATCTTTATCTTTATAGTTATCGTCCTTGGTGTGAACGGGCCTTTAGACTCTTTACAAGTGGTGTAACACTTGTAAAGAGCTATCCGATTACAAGTGGACAGTACTAAATACAAATGAATGAGGTTCATAAAAAAAAAAAGTAGTAGTCAGTCACGTTCTTTTTCAACAGCACAGCTGGTCACAGGAGGTATATTCAAGTTGCATGTGTAACAGTGTTCTGTTTTACCACTTCTGATCAGATCACAGATGAACAGCTGAAAGTACATTTCAAATGTACATAAAGCTTTAAACTTTCCACAAATTACCCCCTAAGCATTTTAGTTGAGTCTAGATCTACTTTGTTTGTGGGAAAGAAAGATTTTGCTAGATTGATTGATTGTATGGATGTTTGCATATCAGGTGTGATTGTCTCTCCTTGTGCTGCAGGCTAAAACCACAAAGAAGATCGTGCTGAGGCTGGAGTGCGTGGAGCCCAACTGCCGCTCAAAGAGGATGTTGGCCATTAAGAGATGCAAACACTTTGAGTTAGGAGGAGACAAGAAGAGAAAGGTAAGGAATACACATCAGCTGACCAGACTTGACATCACATTGGTCACCTGTTAAGAGAATGAACATACCTAATTTATATTCTCGTCTCTCTTACAGGGCCAGGTCATCCAGTTCTGAGCTGGGCCAAATGCTTCTATTGTGGTTTACCATCACTGTCAATAAAAGTTGTATACAGTTATGCGGACTCTAGCCTTTTATTCATCAGTATCAAACTGTGTTTCCAAATTAAGTTCCACACAAGTGCACCATAGGGGACCAAAATAGCAGCTGTGCTTCCATAAATGCATACAAAAATGTTGCTTTAACAGCTGATCTGTTGTGTCTCGTGCAGCTGTTGAGGTAAAGCAGATTATGCATCCCGCAGCGGAAGATAAATCTTTACTTAGACTCTTACGCAGTTTTGTGTGTAGTCAGGAACAGAACAAGGAGGAGACACACCACACATTAAAAAATGAATGTGAGAAACATTTAACTTGGCAGCTGTAGGAAAGAAAGTTATGTCTAAAGGCATCCCCTGATGTTTTTGTGCTGGAAAGTACACGCATTACATTAGATCATCCTGAAAAGTGCATTTTTAGACTGATTAGAGTTAAAGCTAAATTCATGATTACATTGTCAGTTTTGATAGCTAATTTGATGCATGTAAATAAAATGTACTTTTGAGATTTCAGTGCTTCCCTGTTTGTGGGTACCTGTACATACAAGACTAGGAAAAAAAGCTGCCAAACAAACCCTTTGTTTAGAACATTTATTTTTAATAATAGACAAACAAGTGTGCTCTGAGAAAAAAAAACAAAAAAAACTTGCATCTCAAAGGTCAGGAGTGATTCAGCCATTGCATATAAACTAAAGGTTTTAGATCTCAAAAGTGGTCATAGACACATGCATATATGTTCACTCTGCAGAGAGAACGTGTTGTACCTTTCCTCAACTGGATTGATTTTAAATGTCCTTGATAAGGGATCTCATCCTCACACTGGATTTAAACGGGCTCACAAAATGGGATACTGGGAAGTTCAGAAGTCTTAAAAGGAGTCAGGGTTGCAGGGCAGGGTGAATGTCCTCATTTCTAAGCACTTTGTATGTGATCCAATAGAACACGTTGAAAACGAGGAAGCTGAGGGGGAAGACGGCTCGCGAGATGGTGTCTATCCGCTTTGCTCGTTCCACGAAGCGGCGGCGGATGTCAAACAGAACGTGGCCAGGCGGCAGGCCCGCAAACATGGCAGCAGCCTCAGAGAGAGGCCCATCCCCAGACAGACAGCTGTCCATCCCGTATCCCGGGAAGTACAAGTCCTGATTCTCTGAGGCTAACCGCTCTTCCTAAAGGAAAACATCACCACAAAATATATGAATATACACTATCGTTCAAAAGTTTGGGGTCGGCACGATTTATTTATGTTCCTAGAAGTCTCTTATGTTCACCATGGCTGCATTTATTTGATCAAAAATACAGTAATCAGTAATCCTGTGAAATATAATTACAATTTTATTTATTTATTTTAAATATATATTTAAAATGTCTTTTATACATGTGATGGGAAAGCTGAATTTCAAGTAGCCAGCGTTACATCCTTCAGAAATCATCCTAATATGCTGATTTTGTGATTTTATGCTGTTTTATGCAATTTATGCTGATCAAGAAACATTTCTTATATATATATATATATATATATATATATACAGTGGGTACGGAAAGTATTCAGACCCCCTTACATTTTTCCTGAATACTTAGGACCATGTGATATTTCAGATTTTCTTTTTTAATAAATCTGCATAAATGTCAACAATTCTGTGTTTTTCTGTCAATATGGGGTGCTGTGTGTACATTAATGAGGAAAAAAAATTAACTTAAATGATTTTAGCAAATGGCTGCAATATAACAAAGAGTGAAAAATTTAAGGGGGTCTGAATACTTTCCGTACCCACTGTATATATATATATGAAGAAACATTTTCCATGGGCCACTTAGCTAACATATTTAGCTGCTTTGTAAAATGTCTTTCACTATTTTAATTTCCTTCTTGTCCAGCTTTTTTTTATCTCTTAGTGATGTTTTTGTTTTCTTGTTTTAACTGAGAAACATTAGCCTACCATAGATTAATGACATTTATTATTTATGTAGAGTTATGTATGGCAAGATCACCAATTAGTTATCGAACTTGCGTTTTTATAAAAAGGATAAGATATGAGAGTGATATGAAAGACATGAAAGTAGCACAGTTATGTTGCCATCATTATACAAAAAAAAAAAGAATGACCAATCAGAATCAAGTATTCTAAAGGCCGGAGTGTTTATATGTAAATGTTTAATTTGTGGGTGCATATACCCGTGCACAGGCACTGCAGTGGCGTTGTGTGCTTCTGCTTGGCGTACTCTCTGTGACGTTGTTGCTTTTATTCTTCATCTCTGCTCCTCCAGCCTGACCAGATGCCTGAAGACAATACAAAGACACTTATTTAAAAACAGAGCCATCATTTATTTAAACAATAAAATATTCTCTTCCAGTGCACTCGTCAACCTCCCCGGCTTTTCTGTAACCATGCATTACAGATCTGAAACGGGGTCACAATGTACCTTAAAAATCTCTAGTGGGCATGCACATTTCTACAGTAATATCTTTAATTTGTCAAGACGTAACTAAGTCAGTGAGCGGCTTTCACGCTGAACCATCACATATAACAGGGAACATTCTCAGGAATTCGGCAAACATTCTGGCAAGCTTTTCTCAAAGTTATGAACAAATGTTCTTCCAGTAACGTTAACAGAATGGTCATTCAAAGTTATCTGTTCTCAAACGTTACCACAAAATATTATACATTTATACATTATTGATTATCTGAAACATCTTAGTTTGACATTTGTCTTTTATTGTGACAACTTGTTTCAGAATGTTAAGAGAACATTCAAAAGTAACGTTTCCATAATGTTTGCAAAATGATCAAATGGAATGTTCCTTTAACATTAGCATAACCAAGAAAAAAACATTTTTAAAACTTGACATTTTAAACATTCAGCAATAACATTTTTTAATAACTTATTGGTAACGTTAGCGAAATGTTCTTAGAACATATTTTTGTTAGCCAGGCTTTAGTTTTAAACAATGCATTTACTCTCTAAGATACATATGTTTTCTACATACGGTTTTCTTTGGCTTTGTCTTCCTTTCTTATATCAGCTTTCTTTGGCTTTCCTCAGTCTTCCCTTTTTTCCAGGTTACTTATTATTGGTGATATTTTCAATATATATATCTCTCTGTCTCTGTCTCTCTCTCTGTGTGTGTGTGTGTGTGTGTGTGGGTGTGAGAGAGATATCAACAGTGACAGCATATTTATTCCTTAGGGAAAAGATGCTTTTTTTTTTTGTATGAGATCCAGTCAGTTAGGTGCGTTTGTGTTGAATCACATTGTGTACAGGTCGCTGCTTTGGGTGACTTAATGCACATGAGATCAGACAGCCTACTGCACCGTTCTGCCTGTGACCAAACAGTCAGTCAGATTGTGTGTGTCTGTGTGTGTATGTGTTTGTATGTATGTGGCTAACACCACATGCATAATGGGGTGTATGTGTTTTTATATGTGCATTGTGCCTAAAAGCTTGAGTGCAGTAGTGTGTAAGCATGTTTGCATGTTACATGGCTAACAGCATCCCTAAGGCAATTGAGGGGGCACAGCGCCACTAACTCACCCACTGGGTCTCTCTCTCTCTCTCTCTCACACACACACACACACACACAGTCTGCCCTGCAGGGCGATAGAGGGGAGATGGAGGAGGAATAGAAAAGGACAGGATAGTGTAATATTTATTCTCTCTGCTCTTTGTGGCAGGACAGTGTCTGCTGTGTCCAAAAGAAAGCCACGATGTTCTCTCAACTAGCTGGTTAGGAGTAAAGATAGGGAAATAACTGCAGTTTCTGCTGACAAAAACTCCTGAGAGGAATCTGGGAATAGTCTTCTATTCCAGGCAGACAAAGAGCATGTCTGGGTCATAATACAGCTCAAAAATCCGACAAAACGAGAATTTATGTGTTACATCAAGAAAATGAAGCCTATTTTTAGGACCATTAAAAGTGAATTGCGAAATTTTCATGACAAGCACAACTACCCCCACCCCATTCTCATTAGCATAATGCATCTGGATGTTTTTCTTAAGGGTTTGTTTGTATTTTTTAATGGAACACATATTAAAAAAGAAAATTAGATATTACTTTTACTCAAATAATATATATACACTACAGAAAAGTTGGTGTTGATAAGATTTTTTTATGTTTTTGGAAAAAGTATCTTATGCCGACCAAGGCTACATTTATTTGATTAAAAAATATGAGTTAATATTGTGAAATATTAAAATCTAAAATTACCATTTTCAATATTAATATATTTTAAAAGTAATTTATTCATGTGATGGCAAAGCTGACTATTTAGCAGACATTTCTTCAGTCTTCAGTGTCACAGTTTTGTGAAAAACATGATTTCTCACAAAATCTTTACTGTCATTTTAAAACAATTTAATGCATCTCTGCGGAATTTTTTAATTTACTAAAAAAAATCTTACTTAAATGGTAGGGTAAGTACATTACTTTTATTTGTATTTGTTGAACTGAAAAATATATTTTTTATATTTATTACTCTTTTGGGGTAAAAAAATTAATTGTACAATTATGTTCTTGACAAGCTTAATGAGATTCACCTTTATAGTCATTGAGTATAACAAAGCAAAATACATTTCTTAAAACTGATTTTCAGTGTCAAAACAGGGTCTTCTTAATAATCAGACATCTTAATATTTATAAACTATAAGAAAGCCATTTGTAGGTTAAATTCCCCCAAGCTCTGTAATGCTCACAGAGTTTATTTGAGCACCCGGACCAGCTTGACCCAACAACACTGGATCAACCAATGGTGTGAGCTTTGAGCAGGGCCATCTGTCTTGCCAACCAATCATAGATTCAGGTTCAGAAAACCTGTTTGAATACAATTACTGTTTTAGCATTTCCATTTGGTAAAAGAGAACTAATGCTTAATTTATCAGTTCAGCTAAGCATTTGGTATTCTGCTTCACTGGGACATTTTCCAGATTTAAAATCCTGCAGCTCCTTCACTTTCTTCCCATTCGTGTTGTCCCACATTTTGTCTGTGGAAAGAACAGTATTACTCTGTGCAATATTCATGACATGGCTTTATGCCATCGCTGACCTTCCCTCCCTGCTCTGAAGGGGCCAGCAGGCTGCTCTCATGAAAGATCACAGGCACAGTGATTGTATAGTATCTTAAGGGCACTCAACGCATGTCGCGTGTGTATGACAGAGGAGACCCTTACCAAAAAGTAGTATACTACAAGTTTATTTTAATAAGTATACTTAAGTTCAAGTATATTTTTAAGTATACATTATGTCGTAAGTATACAAATATCAGTGTACTAGTAGTATACTTGTAAATGTACTATTTCAATACTCCTTGGGACTAAATTGGCCCACTTTCTAGTATATAAAAGTATACTTTTAAGTATACTTTAAGTATAACAGTAGTCAACTTTGAGTACACAACTAGTTTACATCAAAATGTTTAGTTTGTACTGCAACTATACTAAAAGTGAACATAGGTATACTGATAGTTTACCAATTAAATACTTGTAGTAGCATTTTTAGTACACTTTGAAGTATAGTCTCAGTAAACTACTAGTTTAGTAGTTTTATACTACAAGTATACTTGTAAGTTTTCTTTAAGTGAACTTTACATCATACATTAAGTATACTACTATGTCCCTCAGTTAACAATGAATTATATCATCATATTCATAATTTATTGAGTCTCCCTAATTCCTCTTTTTCATCTTTTAACTTTTCTTTCTAAAATAGCCTAATGCTTATATACACTCAGAAAGTCTTCCAGTTTTGTGGATGAGATCAGTTATTAATCAGGTGGCTATACAGCATTTGACCACTGGATTCAAAAAATCATTTCAGGTTTAAGAAGTGTTTCAACATTGCATCAACTACATGAATTTTTATTTGAATTATCACTCAGTTGGTTACTTTACCATGTATTACTTTGGAAGGCTTTTGTCTTTCAAACACATTAAAATTCACTAATTCACTTTTCTGTCATCTGATCCTCTTTGACCAAATATATTTTTATATAAAGTACTCCTGAGATTTTAAACTAAATATTTTAATAATGAAGCATCACATTTGCATGGTTACGGTTCTCTGACATTGGTTATGGTCACATGACATGCACGTAAACAAATAAAATATTTTTTTTTTTTCTCATTAAGTGTTTTATTTTGATTCATTTTAAAATTCTTTGTTTTAATTTAACATTTTTATGATTTAATTAATCATTAGCTTTTCATTAAACTCATGAACCCTCTGCAGTTCCTTCACAAACCCCAGTTTAAGAAACCTTGACATAATGTAATATTTAATGGACTTCACGTTGTTCATAACAATAAATGGAATATGTTTTCTTCTCTTTGTATTTTTAAGTCAATATGGTACAAGATGATCCTATTTAAATCAATGTAAAAAACAAGAGAGGTCAAAAGTAAACTAAAAGTAATCAAAAAGTAGTCTGTATATTACCTAAAATGGCAACCACTCCAAACACCTTAGCAACTGCATAGCAACATTCTAAGAACCTCATTGAACAACTGAGAAAACGCATAGCAACCCCTTGATAACCACTCAAAGCATTACTAATTACATCCTCAACAACGTAATTAGATTACAGTACTAATTACTCTCTCTAAAAAGTATTGTTACTTATTACTTTAATGCTTTCTAAATCCCATATCAGCATCAACCAGTTGAACAATACATGATACTGCTCTTTTAATTCTATCAAATAAATAATGTAAAATTGCATAAATTATTCTTGAATGGACCAAAGTATTTAAAGTGAGAGGGTTATATTAAAAACATACATTTTAACATAAGATGTTAAATTTTGATGTTAAATCCACTATTGTTTTGTAAACATAGAATTGTTCTACACTCTATAAAGTATTTAATGCAATTACATCAGAGGTAACTTGAATTAAATGACAGTAATTCCCTACTCTACTTTTTCAAAGGAAAAACAATTCAATTAGAGTAAGCTTAGTAATGCATACACTCAACACTGGTTGTAAAATCTGTAAAAATGTATAATGGTGGAATTGCAATAGCATACCAGTGTTGTAGTGTTTTGTACAGTATCCCAGATCTTTCTCCTCTTTCAGGACAAACTGGGGCAGCACAAGGTCATCAGCCACTTGCATTGGGCCTTCATCCAACCACTGAAATATCAGATCATTCATAGTGTAGCCAACTAGAGAGAGAAAGACAGAGAATAATGAGCATATAAAAGAGAAATAAGATAATCATGAGATTAGTTGATGGAGGCTGTCTTACAGCTCTCTAACTGCATAGTGCAGGTCTGTGTGTCCATTGGAAAGTTCTTCAGATCCATAGGACACGACAGAATCAGAGTGAGTCTGAAAGAAAGAGAGATATCGGATGATCATTCATGTAATGGTTTGGAATGATATTTAATCTATAGGGGGTGATATCGCACCTGATGCTATACAGCACATTTCCATTCTGGAAAATCCTCAGCAGTTTGTTGTCCGTAGTGACCTCGTGAAAGTTGGCGCCTTTTTCATTGGCGAAGAACAAGTCTGGCTTCCAGATGGAGTCCAGCATGGATGGGTCCAGATCCAGGGAATCATCTGGATACTCTTTATAAGCCAGCCGTGGGTCATTCCACTGCTGCCGTAGAAAAACGTTCAGCCGATAATCCTGAGGAGTTAGTGTTCAGAAATACATCAGATCACGTTCACAGCAGCTGAGGCAAATACATTTGCTAAAACATGACAGATGTTAATGTACAACAATTATTTCCAGTCCACTATTTATTTACTTATTTATTTATGACAAATTAGTGGATTTAATTCATGTAACAGCACTGAACCTTTCCATATCACTCCACTTGCCTGTGTTAATTATGGTTGCCAAATTGTGTCTAAAATGTCAGTTAATAACTTCTTAAGAATCTATCATTCATAAAACGGAGTCTGATGATTCTAGTCCGAAAAAAGTCTGATTGTCATGTTCAGGCTTGATTCTGATTATTTTAACTCTGTTTTGAACAGTGTACTGTGATACATTCTAGACCAAACATATTTCTGATAAGCTATATACAGGTGCATCTCAATAAATTAGAATGTCGTGGAAAAGTTCATTTATTTCAGTAATTCAACTCAAATTGTGAAACTCGTGTATTAAATAAATTCAATGCACACAGACTGAAGTAAGTCTTTGGTTCTTTTAATTGTGATGATTTTGGCTCACATTCAACAAAAACCCACCAATTTTCAATTTCAACAAATTAGAATACTTCATAAGACCAATAAAAAAAACATTTTTAGTGAATTGTTGGCCTTCTGGAAAGTATGTTAATTTACTGTACATGTACTCAATACTTGGTAGGGGCTCCTTTTGCTTTAATTACTGCCTCAATTCGGCGTGGCATGGAGGTGATCAGTTTGTGGCACTGCTGAGGTGGTATGGAAGCCCAGGTTTCTTTGACAGTGGCCTTCAGCTCATCTGCATTTGGTCTCTTGTTTCTCATTTTCCTCTTGACAATACCCCATAGATTCTCCATGGGGGTAAATTTAATGATCATTCATTTAATGCATACTGAAAAATTCTCCCTAGGAGTATAGTATGTTTAGTGTGTGTGTGTGTGTGTGTGTGTGTGTGTGTGTGTGTACCATGGGGGTCTCTGTGATGGAACCAAAGCTGTTGATAAAAATGTTGCAAGTAACATTTACTGGAGGACCTAAAAAATGAAAGAACAACACAATATGAAACATTAGCATATTACTTAAAAACTTAAACCAGCTTAAACCACTTTGCTGGTCTTTGCTGGTTTAGAGTGGTCTAGCTGATCCCCAACCTGGTGTTTTGCTGCTCATCCAGCCTGACCAAAAAGTGGCCAACATACCAGACCAGTCTGGAAAATCAGCAAATCATATTAGGCTGGTCTAAGCTGTTTTTTTCATCAGCAATAAACAATCCACTAAAGATAAAACTAAACTGAAAGCCAAATGTAATTTGCGCAAATCTTAGCCGAAAGAAAAACATTGAAAACTCAACCTCTGCGTCTCCCATTTTAACATATTAGATTAGATGAATAATTCACACAGAATTGAACTTCAGTGTCTTGAATAAAAAGAAATCCACAAGCAGCAAATAGCAACAGATAGTTTCCAAGACAAAACACTTGAAGAGGTTGTCCAAGACTGTTAAATCCAAAATTACAAATTATCAAAATAAATCATTTTCGCAAACATAGAGAACTAGACAACTGTAAAATGCTCCATTTACTTAAAATGAACTACACAGCTGTTCACTGCTATTCAGCCAATATGTTTAATTAGCATTCAGTTACTTTGTAAATATTTGATTGCAGCATTTTATTTATTGATTGAACGTTCATGACATTAGTGATATATATACAGTAGCTTATCAGAGGGGACATTTCCTTCCACACATGCTGACAGACAGCCACATCTCTAAGATGTAGAACAGATATGAAATATACACGAGCTCAGAGAGAGCAAGAGATCATGAGAGAAAACGAGAGGAAGGAGGAAAGAAAAAGTATGAATTAAAAAAAAACATAAGCAAGAGAATGAGAGGAAAAGACTTATTTAGGTCTTTGGGTTAACATGCACTCGAGTGGACAGCACAGCAAACTAAATGGCCCTGATGCCAGCAGAGAAACTGCCCCTCACGAATCCTCACAGAGGCTGTTGTGACACTTTTTACGGAGAGAAATCTAGCGTGAGCTGACAGCCGTATCCTGCATGTTTCTGAAATCATTCTTATCGTCTGGGACTGAAATTCTGTCAATAAACCTATCAGCCATGAAGACTACTGAACTGAACACACAAGCCAAATACAGACGAAAAGCGAACAAGAATGGAAATTCAAATATTAGGGAAGAAACAGGTCATTTTAACACCTGAAAACGCTTCAAACTATATTTAAATCTTCACAAACAGCCTCTACAAGTGTTTGAATGAATCACACGGTGATGCCAGTGAGGAATGATGGCACACCTGTGAAAAACTCACCTGATGACCCCTTCAAACATCCACCAAACCAGTAAGAGCTCCAGCAGGATCCTCCAGAACAGAGAAAACATCCTTTCACTATTCAGCTGCTCTCTTTTTCTCCCTGCTGTCCTGTGGCTAAATCTCAGTAAGCAGATGTGTTTTGGAGGGGCAGGGCGCCCATTCCGATGCACTCTGGTCTCTCCTCCACTGCCATCTGACTGAGCACCGCATCCTGAGACGGGCACACTAAGAGTAAGAGACGTCTGTGTGTGTGTGTGTGTATACAGGGGGTCTTCTGCTCTTTCTTTCTCTCTGGTCACATGCTAGCCTGAGGTGCAGTTCTAGCATGGAGAAGAGAGAAGGCAACAGGGCGTAAGATGCGTTTAAAGACTTTTATCAGAATAAACAACTGTGACACGATTCCACCTGAGGGGCTCCAGATCCACATCCCGAGACACAAACATCCATCCATCCACCTCCTCTGATATCTTGAGTATATTCAGTAGATGACAGAACAAGTGCTTGCTGTTATTAAACAGCAAGCATTTAGGTTCAGCATTGTTCAGTTTTTTTTTTATTGATATTTTAGGTTCTGTGACTCGTCACTATTTCGTTTGAATTTTCCAACATTTTTGATTACCTTTGTGTCTCTTGCAGTTCACGTCAATAGTCCTGTGGCGACAATATAATAATGTCTCAGTTTATATGAAACATAATGTACACACTACCATTCAAATGTTTTCTCTTATGCTCACCAAGGCTAGATAATGTTTATTCGGTTATATGAAACATCTTTTAATACAGTTTTAAAAATGTTATTAAAATGTAACATTCCTGTAACCAAATGTCCCCACAAGTACAGTAATACCAGTAGATTTTGATCTTGTGGGGACATTTTTAGGTCCCCATGAAAAAAACAAGCTTATAAATCAAATTGTGTTTTGAAAATCTAAAAATGTAGAAAGTTTTCTGTGAGGGGGAGGTTTAGGTGTAGGGTTAGGATAAGGGGATAGAAAATACTGTTTGGACAGCATAAAAACCATTACATCTATGGAATGTCTCCATAATGATAGGAATACCAGTGTGTGCTGTTGAGAGCAAAATGTACAGCATCCCCCAGTTTCTATCATTCTCCCTCACCATACTGTTTTACATGAACCGGCAGCTGTATAGGAGAAAGACAATGAATAAAGAAGAGAGAGAAAAATAAGACAAGAATATAGTTAGTGTGGGTGTAAAAAAAAAAAACTGAAAGAGAAATCCGACTGAGCTTTATGTGCGTGTTGAGTCACAGTGGATAACTAGGCCAGTGTTAATTTTAATGTATCTTCACTCCAGTGTGAACAAAACTAAAGAATACCAGACCCAATTTTCTCAGAAATCACACACACAGTGGTCACGTCGATGATGTTTAAACATTGCCTTGACCTCAGGAGGAATTAGAGCAAATGCCTAAACTACACCACACACACACTTTTGCTCTCAGCTAACGTAATTATCCAAGACCCTCCAAATACACACACACACACCACTCCACTGATTTCTACTTATTAACATGGCTGAAAACAGTATTATTAATTAATGAATCGTAAAATCTGAAATTCACTTCGTCAGTCTCCACAGAGGCTGAAGGTACTCAGTCAATCTCGACTGAGAATTGCTGGCAGACTCCAGAGTAACTAGCGGGGAAGCAGACATTTATGTGTAGGCCTATGTATGCACGGGTCAGCGACATCCACCCTGTTCATATGCTTTAGAGAATATCACAGTCATGAGGAAGTTTATCTCGGAAACATCTGATCTTGTTTTTGTGGACAGATTTTTGTCCCTGCATCCTGGTGCTTCTATGGAACTCAGTTATTGCAATCTACCAAAAACACAAAGTAACTTGCAAAAAAAAAAAAAGTGTTTACTCTTTAATTTTTGATTGATGATCGCACTACCCACTGATAATCTTCAGCTCCACAGCAAAATAAAATTACCTGAATTGTGAATGTTTTCCAACACGAACACTGTGTACAGAGAAATAATGACAAAATTGTATTTCTGCTAAGCTGTCCTTGCAGGAAAACAATGCAACTCTTATGAACAACCGACTCTTGTAAACTGGTTCCTATTAGTGAATTAAATACTGAGTGTGACCAGAGCAGTCCAATGCACTATTAATGATTCTTATCAGCCGGTTCTTTTAACAAATATTAAAAAATTAAATAAAATGTAAATAATTATAATTTAAAAAAAATTATAACCAACCTTACTGAAAAGCTTAATCTGGAAACTCTTGAAATCTAGGGCATGTTTGATCCTCTTTTTTGAACATACAAGTTTATATATCATTTTAATATACATCTATATATATATATATATTTTTTTTTTTTTTTTCCTGCAAAAAAACGTGTGTTTTTATATTATAATTATAATTTTAAAAAAATTATAACCAACCTTACTGAAAAGCTTAATCTGGAAACTCTTGAAATCTAGGGCATGTTTGATCCTCTTTTTTGAACATACAAGTTTATATATCATTTTAATATACATCTATATATATATATTTTTTTTTTTTTTTTCCTGCAAAAAAACGTAGAGCTTAAAAATAAATTATCTGCATAATCTGTACATGGTACGCAACTCAGTGCTGATTAAAGTGTGACTGATGCATCAAAATAGCATTAACAAACAGTATTTGGAGACATTAAAATATTTCAATAAACATCAAAGGCTATTTTTTCTATGGCTACCACTCAGCAGAAAGACAGAATGAGCAATTTGCTATTACTCTGACCTGTATATCAGAGCACTGGTGCATAAGGAAATAGGTCAAGGCTACTTTAGGGAACATGTTTGCAGGCAATCACAGGTTTAATGAGCCTTAACATATTGCATCTTCTCTATGCATTTCAAAAGCCTCAGGGTCACACCCATATTAGACACACAGGCATTCAGTGTCTTGCACTTGGCAAAGAGTTGGTCCAGTAAATTCCTCTGACCTCTGGATTGGCCAGATAATCACTGTACATTATTGTGTTGGCAAATGTTTTAACAAACACCAAAATTGATAATTAAAATAATTTACTTTTATTTAGTCTTCATTTGTACCAGCTGCTTTGATCATGCAGGCAGAAAACACTGTGCGAACAGGTGTCAGAGGAATGTCTTTAATCTGGCTTGGTTTTATTTGAAATGCAACTTTATTGCAGCATTCAACGGAACTGGATATCCTGTCTGATTTTGAGGAGGTGTTTGCATTGCAGCCACGCACAAGTAGTGAGATAAACATTTACTGACCTCGACAGAAAAAACCCAACACACAGCACAAATTTTCAATACAAACAACAGGTATAGATTTCCCTTAGGAGAAAATTGAGTGGTACGGTTTTAAACAATCCATGGGCACAGCGCCATCTTGCAGCCTGGAGTCAGCATGGCATTTCCTGAGACTTCGAGGTCAAAATGGCAGAGGACAGGCTGGTGTAAGCCTGTATGTGTTTGTTCAGTGTGAATGTGTGTGTGTCTTTCCCAAGTTCACTCCACATAGATTTGGACTGAGTGCCCTTGATAGAGTAGAAAGAGAAATGATTGTTCAGTCTTCATGGATGTTGAAAAGCTTGGCCACCTCATTGAGATCGGCATGTTGTTCTCCATCTTTGATTATCTACAAATAAACAGAAAACAACAAATTAAAATCTTTCTCAGAGAAACACTGAAAAAAGACGGATAAAGAAAGGGAGTGGTATTTCTGCTCACCTTCCTTG